CTTAACCGACTGCGCCACCCAGGCGCCCCTCATTTTGGTTTTTAGAGGTGGGCTATTTTCACAGTGTATCTTTCATTGTTTTAATTTTAATTTTTATTTTTTTTAAAGTTTATTTATTTATTTTGAACGACAGAGAGAGTGAGCATGAGCAGGGGAGGGGCAGAGGGAGGGGGAGAAAGAGAGAATCCCAAGCAGGCTCCGTGCTGTCAGCACAGAGCCAGACATGAGGCTTGAACTCCCAAGCCATGAGATCATGACCTGAGCCGAAATCCAGTTGGATGCTTAACTGACTGAGCCACTCAGGCTCATTTTTTAAATTTTTAAATAAGTGTATACTTCACTCATTTCTTGCACCTCCCACCCCACCTCCTGTCTCTGGCAACCACCAGTCTGTTCTCTGTATCCATGAGCTTGGTTTTGTTTTGTTTTGTTTTGTTTTTTGATTCCACATATAAGAGGTATCATAATGGTATTTGTCTTTCTCTGTATGATTTATTTCACTTAGCATAAGTGAACCTCTTCAGGGTCCATCCATATTGTTATAAATGGCAAGATTTCATTCTTTTTTATGGCTGAATAATATTCCAGTGTGTGTGTGTGTGTGTGTGTCTACATACCGCATTTTCTTTCTCCATTCATCCATCGATGGCCATTTAGGTTATTTCCATATCTTGCCTATTGTAGATGATGCTGCAGTGAACATGGGGGTGCATATTATCTTTTTGAGTAGTGCTTTTGTTTACCTCTGATAAATACCCCAAAGTAGAATTACTAGATCATATGGGAGTTTTATTTTTAATTTTTTGAGGAATCTCCGTACTAGTTTTCATAGTGGCTACACCAATTTACAATCCCACCAACAGTGCACAAGGGCTCCCTTTTCTTCACATCCTTGCCAACACTTTTTATTATTTATCGTCTTTTTGATCTTAGCCATTGTAACAGGTATGAGGTGATCTCATCATGGCTTTAATCTGCATTTCCCCATTTCCCTGATGCTTAATGATGTTGAGCATGCTTTCGTGTGCCTGTTGGCTATCTCTATGTCTTCTTTGGAAAAATGTTCAGATCTTCTGGCCACTTTTTAATCAGATTTTTTTTTTTTTTTTTTTGCTATTGAGCTATGTGAGTTCTTTATGTATTTTGGATATTAGTCCCTTATCAGATATATGGCCTGAAAATATTTTCTCTTTCACTTATTTTCAATCTGAAACTTTGTTAAAACTTTTTAAAAGGTTGAGATCATCGTAATGTGTAGTAGTTATTCATTGCTGCTCACTTTAAAAAACGCATGACTGTAATTTGCCTCGGAGAATCCCTCATCTCTCCTCCCTCCCCACTTCTTAGCTCTTCTCCTCTGCCCCCATTTCATCACTTCCCACTCTGGTCTGACTTTTGCCCCTACCACTCCACTGAAACTGCCCTTACCAAGGTCACCTGGAAGCTCCTTGTTGCCAAACCCAATGGACCTTTTTAACACCTGTCTTCCTTGACTTTGCTGCAGCATTGACTACATCACTCCCTCCTCTCTTCTTCCTACTCCTGTTGCTTTTCCTTCTTAGATGCCTCCATCAGTTGCCCCTCCTCTACCAGCTTCTTCATGTTGGCTATTAAATGTTGGGATAAAGCTCTCGGCGTATATCCATAGTCCTCTTCCCATTTTATTTGCTCCCCAGGTAATCTCAAAGGCACCTGACTTCAGCCATCTCCACTTGAGACCCCGTACTTCCTTGAGCTTCAGATCCCACATACTCCACTGTGCATGTGTCACAGGTACATCAAACTCAGCATGTCCAAAACAGAACTGTACGTTTTCCCCTGTGAATCTTTTCCCTTTCTCACAGAATGGCCCTGTTGCTACCTGTCTGGTCGCTCAGGCCAGCTTACCCACCTAGTTGCCAAGTCAGTTTGGCTCCCAGTCTTTCTCCCAGTCTCCCTTCCTCCTGGTCTACTCAGTCACTGAATCCTTCTAAAGGATAATACCTTCTAAAAATCTTTCTCTGTCCCTTTTTCTGCTCTCTTAGATTAAGCCCTAAGCTCTTAGTGCCTGAATGACTGCAGTGGCCTTCTCTCTGGCCTCTTTGAACCTCCGTAGTCTAGACCAACCATCTCTTTCTAAAATAGAAATCTGATGTCAAGCCCCTGTTTATTTATAACCCTTCTATGACTTCCTTTCGTTTTCGAGATATAGTCTAAACTCTCTTCTCCAACTTGCAAGGTCTTTTATGACTCAGCTCTTGCCGATCTTTTACACCTTAGCTCTGCCACTTTATAACCCAGCCATACTGAGCTACGTGTGATTCCCTGAATGGGCTGTGTTCTCTCGCTCTTCTGTGACTGGATGTGTACTACTGTGCCTCCTACCTGGAAAACCTCTTTTACTTGTTTCCTTGCTTAGGTGACATCTTTGGAAAGGCTTCCCTATTGTCCCACTTCCTCAGGCTTGGTTAGGTACCTCTTTTCTGTTTTTATAACACCTTGTAAAACACCTTGTGCTGTAATTGTTTATTTTGTCTGTTTTGCTAACTGGACTGAGGGCTACTTGGAGGAGGGACCTTGTTTTCATCTCTGAACCCTGGGGACCTTCTCAGCACAATACTCTGTTTGTATATATTAAAAGGATGGTTGGCAAGTTAGTGTGAAAGGCAACAGGGAGGTAAAATGTGATAGTGGTGTGCTGTACATCTTGGAGTTAAGCAAAGATCCAGAAGTTTGAGTTCAGTTTGCAGTTGAAGTATATCTATACAATAAAGTATTATTTGACCATAAAAAGGAATGAAGTTCTGATACATGCTACAACATGGATAAACCTTAAAAACATGATGCTAAGTAAAGAAGGCAGACCTACAAAGTCGCATATTGTAGGATTCTATTTGTATGAAATGTCCAGGATAGGCAAATCTATATATGGGGAAAACAGATTAGTGATTGCCGGGGCCTAGGAGTTGAGGGGAGTGGAAATGACTGCTAATAGGTATGGGGTTTCTTTTTGGAGCAGTGAAAATGTTTTGGAATTGGATGGTGGTGATCAGTATACAACTTTGTGAATATACTAAAAGCCACTGAATTGTGTGGTTTAAAAGGGTAAACTTTATGGTATGTGGATTACATCTCAGTAAAGCCATTATTAAATAGTTTGATCAACATAGATTTTGTTTGTGCACACTTGAATACCAATATGATGATCCAAGAACAATTCTAGCAATATCTTGATGTCATAGTGCCAGGCTGAGAACTTCTATTCCGTGTTTTGATTTTATTTTTATTTATTTATTTTTTCCAACGTTTATTTATTTTTGGAACAGAGAGAGACAGAGCATGAACGGGGGAGGGGCAGAGAGAGAGGGAGACACAGAATCGGAAGCAGGCTCCAGGCTCTGAGCCATCAGCCCAGAGCCCGACGCGGGGCTCGAACTCACGGACCGCGAGATCGTGACCTGGCTGAAGTCGGACGCTTAACCGACTGCGCCATCCAGGCGCCCCATCCACAAATATTATTCACGTTCCAGTTTGTTAAGTGTGTATGGTTTGGCCAACCCGGTACTGTAGGGTTGAGTTATTTCTCAATAACTTGAGAAATGTTGTGTTTTGTTTAACAGTCTTGTGAATAGGCGGATGGAGGGGGAGGTGGTAAACCTATTTCTAACATGATCACACTGTCCGTTTGGGACACCTTAGAGCATATTCTGTGTGCAGGTAATTTGAAAGTGTTTTTTCATTGTGTTACATTCGTCATCACTTACTTCTTGTTGACTTAGAAAGGCAGTGATATATGCTGTACCCTAGGGAATGTTTTTCCCTCTTGTCCCACTGTAGTATATGAATATTGGACTCAGATTTGTGAATTGAGTAATACTTTAAAATATAACTGCGTTCAGCCTAAAAATTGGTTCTGAAGCACAGGGGACTATCATAAGAGTTCTTTTGCTCTCAACCCAAAGGTATGTATGGGGTATAAAAGAAGTAGTCTTTGTCCTAGAGAAGAGCTTATATGGTTCTTTTATTATTTCCAGGTCTTTTGGTGGGCCTTGTGCTTCGATATGGCATTCATGTCCCAAGCGATGTAAATAATGTGACCCTGAGCTGTGAAGTGCAGTCAAGCCCAACTACCTTATTGGTAAATGTTAGTGGGAAATTTTATGAATATACACTTAAAGGAGAGATCAGTTCACATGAACTCAATAACGTGCAAGATAATGAAATGCTTAGAAAGGTAAGTTCTCAGTTAAAGGGACTATTGGGATTTTTTTAAAAAGTGTATATGTAACTAGCAGCAAAATGATTCAGGAGAAAAATTTATAATGAATTTTTAATGATGTTTAAAATCATCTGTCTTTTAAAATGGAGAAAGATCTCAATTAACAAACGTAATGCTAAGGAAATGGACATCTGTACATTTCATTTTCTGATTGAGGCTAAGTACTGTAATCCTTTTTGTTTCACTGCATGATGTTTATAATTGTAATAAATGGTGACCAGTATTGACTTGAGCAGAATTCATAAGCATTTCTTTCAATTTGCAGATGGTCTTTAGAGTTTTATCGTACATCAGCACATTGAGTAATACCTAAAATATTCCATTAATATTTCTCTGAATTCTTTCTTGCTTTGATTGTATTCTATACTGAGGACAATTTAATCTTTCTTTGATTCATAATCTGGCACAGCTTCAGGGTCCCCATTCTGAGTATCAGTTATTGTACCATGCTGTGCATAAAGCTTTATGTAGGAGGCTGTGTTGCAGTCTTACTGGCTCCCAGACATTCCTGGAGCTGCTTTCTCCTGTCCCCATCATAGTCCCCCCTCCCGTGAAGCTTCTAAGGGCTTCATCGCGCATGTCTCTTTTTTTCCGCCCACCCTTGGCCATTTGCCTCCATTTCTGTCTTCTGCATGGGCAGGACTTGGCTCTCATAGCTACTTGGTTGTGGTCCTGACCATCTTTAATGCTTTTTAAAATTTCATACGAACTTCATTTACTTTGCAGCAAGAGTTCTTTCCACCTGTGGAAAATTTCAGTTCCTTAAAAGTTCTAGTAAATAAAATTTTAGCATGGGCTATGTGTGTAGCTGCTTTCTGTTCATGTCAGATCCTACCGTAGCCTCATGAACAGAAAGGGGTGCCTGTATTATTATAGGGAATAGATATTAAAAGAAATAGGCTGTCAGGACTAGAAATCTTAGTCACACAGAAATATTTTAACTGTAATATTATGCTATATATTTTTAGGGATGTTCCCTATGTAAGAAGTCTGTTTCTTCTTGCCAGCAATAATGCCATACCCCCAAATTTTGTTACCAGTTTGAGGTCTCTTTTATTTAAAGCAAAGATATGTTCATGGTTTTTTTTTTCCCATTTTAAAGATTTTTTTAAATGTTTATTCTTGAGACAGAGACAGACAGAATGTGAGCAGGGGAGGGACAGAGAGAGACACACACACAGAATCCGAAGCAGGCTCCAGGCTCCGAGCTGTCAGCACAGAGCCTGACGCGGGGCTTGAACTCACCAGCCGTGAGACCATGACCTGAGCCAAAGTTGGACACAACACACTGAGCTACCCAGACGCCCCCCCCCCCATTTTTAAGATTTTTAATGTCATAGTATTTTTTTAACATTTTTTATTTTTTTTAAATTTACATCCAAATTAGCATATAGTGCAACAATGATTTCAGGAGTAGATTCCTTAGTGCCCCTTACCCATTTACCCCATCCCCCCTCCCACAACCCCTCCGGCGACCCTCTGTTTGTTCTCCATATTTATGAGCCTCTTCTGTTGTGTCCCCCTCCCTGTTTTTATATTATTTTTGTTTCCCTTCCCTTCTGTTCCTCTGTTTTGTCTCTTAAAGTCTTCATATGAGTGAAGTCATGTGATTTTTGTCTTTCTCTGACTAATTTCACTTAGCATAATACCCTCCAGTTCCATCCACGTCGTTGCAAAGGGCAAGATTTCCTTATTTTTGATTGCCGAGTAATACTCCATTGTATAAATATATATACCACATCTTCTGTATCCATTCATCCATCGATGGAC